TAGTCGAATTGATCTTGTTAATATTTTATTAGAAACTGTTGGGTATCAACTCTTGATTCTTAATTGTTATATGACATCTCATTATAAATAACCATATTTGCACTATGATAGTCTGCATCTCTCAGCTAATTCAGCAAAATTCCCAACAAAAATTGTCGCGAATCTATAGAAATTTGAATGCTATGAAAATAGCTTTTATTGAAAATGACTTGAATCCGCTTCTATACACGAATCATCTAATAAAAGTCAATAGAACCAGGTTTCTTTGAAAATTATTCGTCGGATTCGTTCGAGTGTCATTCATTTTTCAATCTAGATTATCTTGCCTAGTCATGAGACTCTTCTGTTCACCAATATTCACCAAACACAACAACACTCACACCCACACTCATCAGAGGCAAGTGTCTCACTAAAATAATGGTCAATAAGATGATCAGAAAAGATGTTCTGTCACAATAACTTGATCAATTTTACTTCCTTGAAATTAGAAAGCAATATATATATATAATTCTTTCATCAGTCAATCTATTATACTTCTTAATAAGTATTTGATGTTTTTCAAATGATAGATAATGCAGATAGCAGAATGGGATTTTTTTCTTCTTGGAATATACAAAGCAATAAATATATTTCTTTCATCAGGTATTCGAATCAACTTGTACGTCGGTCGATTACACTTCTTCAGAAGTAGTTGTTGTTTCTAAAAGTATCTGATAACAAAGAGAGGCAAATGGTAGCCGAAAGATGTGACTTTCTTGCCTCGTAGACGAATTAATTTATGGGCACAGATATATCAAAAGGGAATTTATTTCAAACCGATTTGTTTGTGCTATCCTATCAACATGGAAAAACTCGTTCTGTTCTTTCTCTAGTTTGCATGATTGGTATTTTCTTTCCAATTCTTATGCGTATATGCATCTATCATTATCTGTTTTTATATGTATGTAATAGAAGAGATTTATCACATTTCCTTTATAAGAAATTCATCCATGAAAGTCGAGACCAAACTTGCTCAAGCGAGATCGTCAGACATTGCTTATTTTAAGATATATCGTAGCAAGAAGAGTCGTATGATTTTTGACGCAAACTGTTTGAAAAAATATTGTTCCTTTATCAAGTTATTCAAATTTGTCCTAAGGGCATTATCTCCATACAGCATATTTTTTGTGAATTTTTATGACATTCATACCTCATAGAAAACAAATCTATATGACTTGAGAATTTTATTGTAGATACACCGCCAATAGATGTACTCATCATAAAAAAAATGAGTTCACAAGAGTGAACTATTGGTGAGTTGATCGGTAGTACCAAATACACGAAAAATCATCATTTTTGTAGTTTTGTTCGTATACATATTTTATGAATCGATAATGTTAGAGCGCTGAAATTTAGATTATGGAGAGATTTCATGGATTAGCATTTCCAGTAAAAATAATTCAGCTCTCTAACTAGTTTCAATCGTTCAAGAGACCTTTCACAAAATCATGATTTTTCAAGGGATCTATCTCTTAAAACAAACTATCACTAGAAGTTAGATTCATATATGATTTTAAGGTGCACTGAGTACTAGCAAATTAATGTAAGAATTAGCTCTCTATGAACTTCCATAAAAAAGTTCCTTGAAAAGGGTGAAAAAGAAATTTGTAAAATCGCTGCACTTCTCTTTAAGATTTTAGGTAAAAATTTCTTATCAAAAAGTCCGTATCTCATGTGGGAAATTTTCAAAAAAATTTTTTTTTTGTGCTTGTTTAAGAACTTTTTTATGGAAGTCAGTAGAGGGTCGTGTGTTGATTTATACCGAATAGAATTTTATTGCATATTGTGTAACTTTTCGATTAATTTCTAGGCGAAATTGAATATATTTTCTATGAAAATGTATGTGAGTATGAGGAAACAACACATCCATGCTCACTATTCACATATAGTAACTAATGTAAGATATATGAAAAGTCGAATTTGTTAAGTTTTCGACGCTATCTCTGTTTTGTATATTCTAAAAAAAATTTACTTAATCTGTAGTCAAGGTAGTCGACTAAACGTGAAGGTTAAAAATGTGAACTAAGAGGTTTTAAAAGTTTCTTTTTTTTTGAATGCATAAAAAGATTGAAAAAATAAATTTGTGTGGATGTCTTCTATGCTGAGACAACCCATAAACTCTTTTATAAGTAGTTTGTCACATTTGATTTTGTCATGGTGTCTATACTTATCATTATTAGAATGAATAATGCAATATCATTATGTTCATTAAATTTGTTTATTGAATAATTATGAAGAATAATAATATCTCATATTTTTACCGTTGCTTTGATATATTTGTATTTTGCTTGAGTAACATCAGATCGATATTATCGCTTATTGTGTATTTAAATAAAAAATATCGATCAGACTCATGTATTTCATGGTTATATGGCGCATTACTTATCGAATTTGTTCTATTATATGTATCATTTATTAAAAGTTTTCTATTTTTTATGCCATCTATTGCTGTTGAAATAATAGCATATATTCACTATTACTTTATTATGTCATCTCAATTATGTCGGTTAATAGCTTGTATTAAAACGCAACCATTTTCAAGCGAAAAAACTGAAGTTCATGGTTTGTTTTTCTTCAAAGACTATCATGAGTCTTATGCTTCAAATGCAAAAGGTCAACATTCGAGAATTTATTTGCATGATAATTTTGATTATTTTAATAACTATCGGTATTGGAAAATATACCGATCACTCTATCGTCTACATCCTTATAGATGAACAAACGACAGTTAAATATTCTTGCGATGCCTTTTTTTATCATCTATACATTTACTACTAACATAATACCAGTCTTGTTGTTTTTAACTATTTTAATTATAAGAAGTAATCGTCATTATATAATTGAAAGTAGCAATAAGAATTGTATACGTTTAATGGTAATCGATTATTTAATAAGACCAATTAGAATTGTATTAATTCAGTCCGTATTATTCGTTATTGAATCATTTCTTTCAACGGTTACAACTTCAATTATTATAATCAGCTATCAAATTATACCTCTAACAACAATTTTCCATCATAAAAAATTCACCGTTTCTGAACGCGAAATAAATAATAATACGAAAATGTTCATATTTTTGCTCATTTTGCTGCGATCTATTCATGGCATATGTTTCTATAATTTTCTTTTTGAGAAAAAATTTCGAAATATATTGATTAAACTAATACGACGAGTGAAGAAGGATTCAAATGGAACAACAACAACAATATTATCTACCCACATTCAGTGGTACTGGAAAAGTAGGCGAGATCCATGGGCATCTATTGATGTTAATGAATGGGAACCATATTCAGATGATCAAAATCGAATCATCGAAAAAGCTTTTCGAAACAATGCCGAATATGTAAATCTTAAAGAGTCTGATTATATTATTGATTTAAAACGTTTAATTCAAATGAATGCTCGTGATAGTACAAAACAACCACCGATCAAACGTGTAAATTTAGAAGATCAATCACATCCTACTAATTAATATATGTATTCCTAACGAACGTTTTTTAAGTGATCCACCGACAATAAAGAAAACTTTGAATCGTATTGATTGGATTACTCCTCAGATGATTTCTTTATACGAATATCAACATATGCATTCATATCGTCGATGGTTTCCTCATTGAATTACAAATCGTCTACCGTCTATTTCGTGTATACGATTACCTATTCAGTGTTTTGAATCTTCCTTACGATTAGCACGAGCGGGTATTATTGAAGTTCATTATTTTATCTTTTAGATACTTGATTGAATATACCATTATAACTCATAACGTTCTTTCATACGTAAACCGAACAGTATCTCGTATATTCTTTGTTACTGTTGCATGAGGCTTTGGCATACTTAAACCTCTTTCGAGATCACTGAAATTAGAATTAGTGGTGGTTATAGGTATTATTTATTTTATTCTTGTCATTAAACTACTTCATCGCTTGGATTATGAACCATAAAGAGATTTGGTGTGGACGTTACTCGTTGGGTTAATTTTCGCCGATATTGTAATCTGATGTTACGGACTTGTCGCATTACTTAAAACAAAGGGAACGCTACGTATAAAACAAAATTCATCTCAGTTGAATGTGTATCGTCATTTTGGCAATACGATTTTATTGGCTATTGTTGCTAGTGTTCTTTATATGATTTGGTCACCAAACCGACGATACAACTGGCAGCAGCCTTTGATCAGCCTTTTATTTTCTTGCACATCTTTTAATGTGTAGAGCCCGTAAAAAAGTTAAGTCTTTTTGACCAAGATCGTTCTTTGAAGAGTGATGTCGACTGAACCTTATGGAAACTCAAAAGCTAAACAATGCACCTTGAGTAAATTTTTCTTTTCATGTATTTTATTTGAAAATGCCATTCTTTGCTAGAACTTATATAAGCTCGTGTTTCGAATGAGATTCGAAATCTGATCTGCAAAAAGTTCTAATTGAGGCTTTCATCTGAGTATTGGAGTATTCTTGATCTTGGTGGTATCAGTTTCGATAGAGTTTATCGAGTTATATACGAAAAATACCGTGTTAGATATTTAAAAACCAGCTTTTGATGGAAAATTGCAAAATATAATTGTTTTTGAAAACACTCAACAATTAATGATCATTTTCTAGTTTCTCAAAAAATCATTATTTTGAAGTTCTTTTTTTTTTTCTACTAAGAGTTGGTTTCTAAAAGCCTAAGAGAGTGTTTTCCAAATATAACCATTCGAGCTGCATCGATCTAGATAGGTTTCAATAAAATCAAAATTAATATTAAAACACATCAGAAACTCCCACGAACATTACTTTTAGCAAAATGGTCCTGTCCAAAACACTTACTGTTTTACAGGCTACAAAATGATAGTAGAAGTGAAAGAAGTATAGTGGTAGGATGAGTATTTATAAGCAGGTAGAGCTGTGTTAACGTGTTCTTGACTATTCTAGGTCGAAGATGCTTTTGGCATGGGCTCTCTTCAGTGGTTCTTTTCATAATCATGTTTCTCTTTCGTCCATCGAATAATAACCAGCTTTTTGTTGCTCTTTCTCAATGCAATTCCAATGATGAACGTACCGATGACGATACAGAAGAAGTTGGTAAGTTTATTATCTTTACTCATCTACAAAAAAACAATTGAATTTTATTCCTGAGTAGAGAAAATGTTTTTCATCTTGCTTTTAGAATCAGCTCTTTTTAATTCAATTTGATTGCTCAAAGCTACAAATCAAACAAACGCTAGTAAGAACAACAAAGAATCACTAGAAACATTGGATCATGGAGAAAATGTATCGGATAATGGAATTGAAGATGCTTTGACATGGGTAGTACATCAAATTCCAACATCGATTGCTGATCAAGAATTACAAGCATCGGATAGTGATGATAAAATATTTACTACTAAATTAGAGCAATCCACGATGTAGTGAATGCCTAAACAACAAGAACTCTTCTCCAAATACGGGAAATACAAAGTTATTTTGTTTTTTGTTGCTTTTTTTCAAAAAAAAAAGACTTTTCCAGTGGTTCATACACGAATAGATTGAGAAAACAGCTGACAATAGCTGCTGGAAATTGGTGGCACATTTTTATCACCGGATATGAAATTGTTAGCCAACAATTACCCAAAATATGTACTAGGAAAAGAAAATGAAGAAACAATTTAGAAGCGTTTGCATCAAGTTTCTACCAAGTTATACAAACATATCATCCGAAAATATGAAACTTTCAGAGTTTTATAGAGCTTGAACCGGTGGTCATTTTACTATAATAGTATTTGAGAATAGAAATGTTACATTTACTATTGGAAATCACGACTGGTGATGAGTATTGAAGTATATAGTAAGAAAGTTCGACTTGCTTGCTTATTTTAGCCGTAAGAGCCGTATGAAAGATCAATAGAAGGACCTTCGTAACACATTCTAGTAGCTTTCACAATTTAAGAAAGTTCGAGAGCCTTCCAAAAGAACAGAGTGTCTGAGAAAGAAAACTGCTTAAAGACTAGGCATTGAAGTAAGAAGAAAGTAGCTTTTGGTCGAATGATTATTGATCGAATACTAAATGACTTTTCGCCGAAAGAAGGATATGGATGTGAGTGTGCGTATGAGTGTAGATATGAAGGCCGAACACAACTACACCCACACTCTTTACAAATTATGGTTCTCATTAACCAAGCTCTATTTTATCATTTCCTGACAGTTACCCAGCTTCATTCTAATCAAATATACTGGAAGTGATATCACTGTTTGAGATAAATGTTCGTTGTAATTTCAAAAGATCATGCCTTTTGATTGAGATATATCCTACAAACTACGCGATCACATTTTTCTTGCTAAGAATAGTTAACAAAAAAACCATCTAGTTGCACACTTATTTTTTTTCATAATGTCGGATAATATCGGCTGATTTTTGACAGAGTCGATCAGCATCGTGTAAACATATAAAATAGGAAAAGTAATACGTTTGTTCTCCACATGAACCCAAGCGGAAGCGGTTGATGAAGAGAATTACATATTGTTGCCTTCATTCAGAAAAAAACCAAACACTAACGAAAAAAAAAACATATTGTGCATAAATTTTTTTAGCTTGGTGGTATCCTTATCTATCGTACACAGGTGTTTTGTCTTCTCGTCGGTTTCTACGTTATTTTGCACTGTTTTTTCACACTTGTTCTCTATGATAACAGTAGTTGCCACGAATCCTTTTTTTTTTACTTTAATGATAGGATATTAAAAAAATTGTTTTCAAAACATATTCTCTTAAAAAATCTGTGAAACACTGTTTTTTTTTCCAAAAACCTTGTATCATTTTTCTTATTTTTTCATTGGAAACTAATATATCAGACATAAAGTGATTGGTATTTCGTTCTGAGAGTAACAACTTTACATGAAACCCGGCTAGAGATGTATGGGATCAACTTTTTTTTAATCTCGGCCCCGTTTTCGGACATCTCTAAACCCGACTGTCTATTGTGCTAATAGCTCCACATTGAAGAAGTGTAGAACATTGAGCGTTAGATCTTCTCTGTTACAGTTATCAAGCTTTTATCTCTCTCTTACTTTTGACTAGTTCTTTTGATGCTCAAGCTGACTAGAAATATTATGTTCTAATTTCTTTGCAGACGTGAAAATAGGGTAAAAACATATTTGAAACTATTCGTGGTTAATAATGGAAAGCGAAGAAAATAAGTCGACGATTAATTGTAAAGAGCTCCGGGTAGGTGTCGTTGGATTAGGCTTCATGGGATGTAGTATAACCACCTGCCTATTGATAGCCGGTCATCCAGTAATTGCAATCGCGCCCATTCAGACTGATTTAGAAACCGGTGAGATGTGCATTCGCAAACATCTTACTCTGTCGTTTGAAAAAGGCATATGTCGGAAACAACCAACTCATTATTTACAAAATTTGACCATTACCGAAGATTACAATCTTCTCAAAGACACTCATTTAGTCATTGAAACCGTCATCGAAAACGTAATGATTAAGAAACAGGTTTTCAAAAACATTGAAAATGCAGTTGCCGATCATACAATCATAACGAGTAATACATCAGCTATTCCAATTAGCGTTCTTCAGGAAGAACTTCGTCTACCCAATCGATTTTTTGGGTTACACTGGAGTGTTCCTGCACATACTACTCGTTCTGTCGAAATTATTTGTGGAAACACTAGTGATCAAGAACAAGCCAAATGGTTGTATCAACTATCACATTTTTGGGGCAAAGAGCCGATGCTCTTACGAAAGGACATTCGAGGTTTCATTCGGAATCGTCTCATGTATGCTTTGTATCGGGAAGCATTCTATTTGGTCGAAAATGGATACAGCTCTATCGAAGATGTCGATCGGGCATGTCGGAATGGTCCTGGTAATTGGATCACTTTTGCCGGATGTTTTCGATGGATGGATTTAACTGGTGTACCAGCTTATCATACTGTAATGCAAGATTTATTTCCAACCCTTTGTAATGGCACAGAAGTACCAAAATTAATCGACAAAATAGTAAAATCAGGTGGACAAGGTATAATAAATGGTAATGGTTTTTATCAATATACAACAGAAGAAGCTCGTTTATGGCAAGAAACACATCAAGAATTCAGCTACGATATTCGCGAGCTGGCGCAGAAGTATCCAGAGGATGTGGTAAAAAAGAAATTGGAACTACAAGATAAAGATCGATCTAATGCCGACATTGTATCCTTAAAACTGGAATAATATGCTCCCAACAGTTATTAACAGTCTTATATCGACAATAAAAATGCTACAAAACTCGAACTAGTTTTCAGAAAAAGCGTTAGATTGTAACGAATTATATTTATTTGAAGAATCAGTAATAATATTAGATTTCATCATTCATTACCATAATAAAAATAGTTCTCAACGTAAACCAAAAAAGTTTAAAATTTTCATGGCACGTATCAGAGTCTTCAATGATCAAGATAAAGTTACCACATTTTCGAATCACTTTGCGCATTGATGTTTTTTGTCAGACATTACTAAAACACGAATGAAATCGATTGTCCCCTTGGTCCATGATTCAAGAGAAATTCATCCCATTCACGCAGTAAATCATACCATCACGATACTTTCATCCCCGAACTCATAGGTCAGGATGTGGATGATGTGCTCGTGAATTCGAACATAAACGTAGATATTTTTGCAATACCGATTATCTCATAACGTAATAATAATTGACGGCTCCTACCATTAGCAAATGGTATTAGTATGGATGACATTTTATCTTAATTTTAATTTAAAAAACGTAAACTAGAGATGAGATGTTACCAATAGATATTGATATTGTTACCTCATTAGGCGTGAGTGTGGATGTGAGTATTCTCTTAATGAAAAAGCAATTCATCTGCGATTTTTCGTACAGTTTTAATTACAGAATACATCAATAAACAATCAGAAGATCGAATCCAATGCATTTTTTTAGAACTTCTTTCTTAATTGTAATTTCTATGGTGTTGTTAATTTTTTCAATTTTTTTTCGACGACGAGCTACTCGACTTCTTACTAATTTTCCTAGTCTCAAAAAAAAAATCTAGTTTTCGTCACATCACGTCCATCTTTTAACGTCTCTCCCTTTCTCTATAGGTTTTGTGCATCTACAATTATGTTCTACTTTTTTCTTGGTGTTAGTAAGGAGCAATGAGTTTTCCTTTTCTATCATATGTACATATATGATGGACTTTTCTATTTCTTTCTGTTCTTCTTCCTCGTTTCGTGTTCTTCTATGGATTTTTTCGCTCGTTATTCATCGTTTATGAGATTTTCCCCATGTTATATTATCCTCTATATATTCGTTACATTGTCATGAAGAATCGATCAATGAGATTGAAATACAATTACATGAATCAGATATAAGTATGATTAAAATCTCTTAATATATGCAATTTCAAGGATTTCTGTCAATGAGAAACTCAATTCGAAACTTAAATAAATACTGCTTTTATAATCGATTATTCAATAAAATATAAAATTCGAACACAAATAGGATGAATAGAAAGAGAGAAAGAGGGACTAAAACCATAAAACTTCCTACTTCATCTATGAATTAAAGTTACGGTTATTTTTTGTCATTATATGTAGACTATTTGTCAAAAATAATAATATATGAATAATGTGGGTATTACGCAATCGTTATTATTTTTTTTGTTGGAAAAAACCGATCATCATGTGCTCTTTTTCCTTTTTTTTTATTCTCTCCAATCTTTATAAGTTACCAAAAACATGACATGTTGTCACTCAGATTCTTCCTTTTCTTCCTGATATATAGGTGACACATCAAATTACGTATGTAGCTGTAGAAAAGAATAAAGCTATTATATGTTCATAATGAATCAATCATTTGAGCTGCAGTTTTCGTCAAAGTTTAGATTAATGGTTGCAGTCTATCCATAGAAAATTTCATCGCAATCTACCAAAATATAATTGCTATAAATGACAAACAAGAAAAATCATACTTTCTGATACCCATTTCAAAGAAAAAGGCGGGTGAGTATTTTTTGAATAACTTTTGAACAGATTGAGCTAGAGAGCTGCAATTTTCACCATTGGAAAGAGGACATAAAGATGCATCGAATCATGCATAAAAACATTTTCTAACTACTTTTCTAACAGTTTCACGTAAAACCTTCTAGCAAAATTGCATACCAGTCATAATCGAGATATTAATTTATTGATTCTCAGGAGTTTGTTAGAGCCACTAGATAAAGAGCTAGAGCACTATATAACAATTATATTCCTCACTATTACTACCAGTAAGATATCATAGCTATTGGAGTGCACTTTACTACCGAATTCTTTTAAAAAAATAATTGAAAAATTTAAGTTTTTGTATTTTTTTTTTGAGGAAAAATTACTTATTTTTAACGTATGAGAAAAAAGCAATTTTTTGAAAATGTTTGACTAAAACTGTTAGGAAAATATTCAGAAAAATGTTTTGATATATATTGTTCGACACATTTTCATTTCATCTGTTCAATAGTGAAAATCGTAGTTCTCTAGATCAATTCGTTCAAAAGTTATTCAAAAAATACCCACTCGCCTTTTTTTTCAAATGGACATTAGTTTAATTCAAAATTATATCACGATCAAAAAAACTAAATAAATAGAACGTACAGGATGTATGACTAGTTCTGAGTCAAACTGGAAGTAAAGATTTTTTCTATGTTTTCGTCTATAATATTCATATTTCAGCAGATTATGATAATTAGTCTACATGTTGAAGAAAATTGCAACTAAAATGCTCGAATCTTTATGGAGATATTCTCAAGTTTTAGTAAATTCTTAGATGTAAAAAAAAAATTTTTTTTTCGATGCTATTGTATCTTTTTTTTCCTTTTGTTTTTGGTGACTTCAATATGGAACAAATAAAATTAAAACGACAACTCCGTATCTATTCTAACGACGATATTAATAAGAGAAAAAAATTAACAGATGATTCGAATAGGTCAGTCAAAATAGATTATATATTTATTTTGTTCAATCTAATTTTTATCTATTAGTTTATTAATACAATCTATTAATCATTTTGAACAGATTCCTAATGAACTTATTTATGAAATTTTCGATTTTCTTGATATTTCTCATGTATATAATGCTTTCTCAAATCTCAATACACGTTTTGAAAATCTTCTTACTAATTCATCTTTTCGTTTCAATATTAATATTTCATCTATGTCGAAATCAACTTTTGAACATTATTATACAAATATTATCAATCCTAATAAACATCGAATTAAATTACTTCATTTATCAAATCCATTTACTGTCGATCGAATTTTTTCACCAGTTCGTATTGCATTAAAATTTATTCGTTTAGAAACACTTATATTTGATAATATTCAATCAAAGTATCTTCCAAATATTCTTCATCATTTTATTTCTTTACCCAATCTTCGTTGTTTAATTCTTATTTCAATTGATTCTGTTCGTAATCTTAATAATATTTATTATCAAATATTTCGTTTACCTACATTAAAATATTGTAAACTTTCATTGAAAGAACATGTTGAATCTCAATTATTACCAATGGCAACAGATAAAATCAGTCCTATTGAACATCTTGTTATTACTAATACTATTTATTTCGATGAACTTCTTACACTCTTATCATATGTTCCTCAACTTCGTCGTTTATCAATTCATTGTCTTGATGGATACCGTAAGAAACAAACGATATCATGGTCAACTATATTAAATTATTTGACACATATTTCTTTAAATATAAAAAATATTACTTCTGATCAATTAGAATCAATGTTCAAAAATCTTTTTCATCAACTTCAAGTTTTACATATTTCAACATCCTATGATGAAACATATTTAAATGCAAGTCAATGGGAAAAATGGATTTTATCATATATGTCAAATTTACACATTTTTGATTTTCAATATATAAATTCTATACAAAATGCTGCTAGTGATAATAATCAATTGATATATGATGATGTAATCAAACAATTCAGTTCTTTGTTTTGGTCCGAACGAAAATGGTTTTTTGCGTATCATTTTTATAGAAAAGAATATCGAGATCATGTAATATTCTATTCAACAGATCCATACAGGTATAAGAAAATCATTTAATTCTATAAAATAAAATAAAAAGAAATGTTATATTTAATTTTAAGACGAAAACAATATACATTATATAAACCATTGGATAAAAAAATTTGTCCACGCCATCAAGAAACTAATGTTGATGTTGTTAATCATATTGATATACAAGGTGAACAAGCAATGATGAGTTGTATAAATTATTTTTCAAATCCTACTGAATTAACTCTTTCTAACAGTTTTTATGAAAGTCGTATTTGGCTTCGAGTTATTCTTAATCGAATTATTTCATTAAAACAACTTACAAAACTTGTTATTGATTGTACGGATTTTCGATTTGATCAGTTTATTAATTTATTACGTTTAACACCAAACATTCATACATTAATACTTGACTATCAATCAATTAATTATATTGATACTGTATCAATTGATCATACTGAAAATTTTCAATTTGTCTCCAATACCAATACAATTACAAATATGATTATAAAACGAATATCTTCAATGAAAAACATCAAACTCTTTATTGCTCTATGTCCTCGATTACAACATCTTACTATTGATATAAATAGTATGGATTTTGAACCAATTGTCGAATTTTTATTATCAAGAAATAATTCTCATACTCGTCATTTATTTTCATTATGTATGAAACATAGAAGTAAATCAAAGCTAACCAGATTAAAGACATTAATAAAATCAAAGAAAATACTTGATGATTATTTAATTAAACAAATTTCTTCAGAGTTATATATATGGTGGTAGATATCTCATTGGTGAATGAAATAAATTATTCTCAAATAAACAAAAATATGCAAGAATAATCAGTCGAATGGTTTTGAACATTGAGCGTACTAGAGGTTTGAGTACCACTTTGTGACTCATCTTTTGGCTAGTCTTATCAGATTGTAAGGCGCCATTCAAAGTTTGAAAGATGCAGAATTTAATATATTACCAGTACCTGGGGAAAATGTTACGTAGGATGATTACTGTGCAATGAATCCTAAGAATTCTTTCACATATAAAAAATAGATATGCAAAATATTCATATAACACAAGAAAAAAGTCCCAGTAGTTTGACATTTATTTGTATGTCGCATACGTCAAGGATAAGTATTCATAACAGAAACACTGAGTGAATGTGTACTTTCTTTCCAAAACAATACTTCTTGCAATACAATGACTTTTTTTAAATGATTTGTGGAATCTAATATATTTTCAGCTTGAAAAGTTCTGCTGGATGGTTATTCTGATTGATAAAACATCTGCGCTAGGATAGTGCAAATGAAACTAATACAAATTACAACATTTCGTCTTTGCTTTCATAGATAGCATATATTTATACACATACAAAAGTAAAAAATGTCTGAAGAACACTCTAGTTGTCTTAATCAAGAAATGAATGAGAGAATGTGGATGTGTTCTGTTATTGACGCCTTCGTCGCCGACTTTACAAAATTGCCAACTTCAACATTCACAACAAATGAATACGATTTGACAATATTCTGTAACAAGTTTTCGGATGCACTCTACCAATTTATTCTTGGATCAAACAACATGCCAGCATTTTATTTAGCAAATTATTAAGAAATTCCAAAGAATGTCTTCTTTTTTTCTGCAAAGAAAATTCTTCGAATAATTGTTCTTTATCGATTTAGGATTTCATTTATCTAACTAACAAATTCATCCGAAGCGTTTTTTTTTCGTCGCTGGATATGGCTGACTATTCGTCCTTTAGTATGTTCACTTCGTCGACTTCCTTCATTATCGTCGATTGGATGCCAATCTTGCCTGAGATAGTAATTCAAAACGTCGTCGTTGATATTATTAATGATATCAACGACGAGATCGAGAATGCCGAAGAGCAGTTACTAATTACACAAAATGATTTCAGTTGTAGAAGTGATTGTGTCATTATGTGGGAGATATCGTCGTAGATGTTCAGTTCTTCTGAATGAAATCATTTTTTTTCTTTTATTGATGAAATAAATAGGACTTTGTAGAAAAAAGATGACAATGAAACTTTGATCTCGTGCCTCTATTTGATCGATACAAATCGGATCCTGTGATATCACATCAGGTAACGTCGTCCATCATCCAAGTGTCACGCATGGTAACGTCAGTTCATTTGTATAGACTATGACATCTGACACATCGTCGACATCAATGGCTGACAACTTACTCATATTACCTGAAAAGAAGAAAATGAATTATTAACAAATTAGTATATATCCAGTAAAACTTGATCAAAGCTAATGCGCAAGGTGAGAAATCAGAATCTCAAACTCATGAATTATGTGTAGAGGGTGAAACGTGGTATGTCTGACTGATGATTGCAATCAATCGTCGTATAAACACAATTTGAATAACACATCAAATGTGCAATATTATTGTTTAATATTGCCACTGTTTCGCTTAAATGTTTTAAATTAAGTAAAAAGCTCTTCTAATTTGACGAAGTGTATAAGGATGTGATGACACACAAAAAACTAATAAAACTAAAACTGAGAAACTTATCAAGAACAAAAACAAATTGCACCAAGTGTTAAATATTTTACGTAGACAAAAATAAATGCTTTTGCACTAATAAATACAAGTGATGAAGTTCGAATTCCGGTATATTTTTTTTTTTTTGAATGAGAAAATATTTCGAACGAATATAACATAGTCTAACTATCATCATTAAAGGTAATTATTCAATGCATTCGTCAGATAGACTAACACCATTACAACATGATGTTCAAGGTAACTCAGTTCGAATCCGATATGGCTTGAGATTTAATCTTTAACTTTTTAAAATTTCATTTGGAACATGGTCAGACACATTTCGACTCAAAACAAAAATACTTACAGAGGATGAGAGATGGAAAAGTACAAAATATTGACTGAAAATTTTCACTGACTATTTTCTTCGAAAATATATGTCAGTTTCACAAAAAAAATAATCTTCTACATAAAATTCTACTATAAAAAGTTAACGAATATTTCATTAAATTGTAATGAATACCATATAAATAAATCAACAACATTATTCTTCATCATCCATATTCAAGATTTTTTCATGCATTTCAAAATGTTCACTCAAATTATTTTTGGTTTGTGTTTTAAAAATGTAAATTCCGATTAAAGACAACATAACAATAATGAATATAGAAGAAATTACTATAGCTAAAATTATGTTCCATTTTTGATTACTATTTGATGATTATAAAGCAATATGGGTACTCGTAGTTGTATTAAACTTTATAATACTAGATATTATCGTTTGTTCAGTACTCGATAAAATAGTAATTGACGAAGTCCGTATTATTGAAGTAATATTCGTAATTGTTTCGGCTTTAGTGGACATTAAACTTGTCATTATATTGGTTTGGGTTATGATACTTGAATCGATAGATGATGATGACCATTCGGTAAATGGTAAAATAGTTGTACTATTTGCAAATGATTCACAACATAAATCAATACTTGCATATTGCCTACTTAATTGTTTCATAATTGTATCACTGGATAAACAAATTGGAAGTTTTTCTAAATCTAATGAACCTTTAAATTTAAATAGAAAACAATTACATGGATGATCACTATCAATAATTAAAGTTGTTTGAATTAAAATATGAAAAATTGACCTTGATAAACAATAATCATTATCAGTTAATTGAATATCATGTAAAATTATACTAGGTTCTGGTGAATAATTTCAATTAATAAATGAATCATCATCACTATGATTAACATTAATTTTTTTATAAAGCCAAAATTTATTCGTTTTATGAATAGTTGATAAATCTAAAGTATATAATTTTTCAAGTTTGGTTATAATAAACCAATTTATTTTGAAATAAATTAGTACAATTCGAAAATAATAAAGTTGAAATTGTTGATAGAATACTATAAAGAAATGAATTTATTTGATCAAATAATGAAAATAAATTTCCAGCTGAATTTAAATAATTAAGAATTGTTTGATTAAAAGCTAATGAATGTATATATTCAATTTGATTATAACTTGATTCAAGTCTATTTGCTTTATTAAAAGTAAATTTTTCTATTTTTTTTTAATTTTATTACAACATATTGTTATATTATCTAAATTTAACATTTCTTTTAATGGATATAAATCTTCTATTTGATAATGAAATAAAAGCTAATGTTTGATTTAATAGATATAAAAATGATGTTTTTATATTATTATTTGTTATTGTTTCAAGTGACGTTAATAAATTATTACTTAATTCTAAATCAATTAATGATAATCCAATAAATGCATCAATTGCTATATGTTTTATTCGATTATTTGATAAATCTATACTAACTAAATTAATCATATTTGAAAATATATTTGATCTAATTTCTTCAATTAAATTATTAAAAGATAAAACTAAATCAACTAAAGATGTTGAAATTGTTTCAATAAGTAGACTTGCATTTTTTTAATGAACAATTTACTAATGATATTTATATTTTCGTGGTGATGTAAATGTTAGATCGACTACAATATCTGAATAATAATTGAACTCTTTAAGAGCATATTCTTCTATTTCATCAATACCATTTATGAAATTTAAATGTAACCATTCAATAGAAGGAAATGCTAATGTAAAATTAGTAAATATTAAAGATGTTAAATTTACAAAATAAAATGAATATCGATGATGATCAAGTGAAGTAAATGCTGCTCAATCAATATAACTATCATATGTTTCATTTTTTCCAATATAAGAAATACTTTCCATTTGTTCATTACAATAACAGGTTAAAACAGAATTATCCAAACAAATATTTTGTGATTTTATTAAATTAATAATTATAATAACAATTGAATAGAACAAAAAAACAATTTTAATATTTTCATTTCTTCAAATATTATAGAATAATAAAACGAAATTTTTATTTATTTATATCTTAATCATTACAACGCATAATTTATTATTATCTTTTTACATGACAAACAATTCTTTCTTGTAGTCTATATGATGAGACATAAGTCCAGGTAGATAATGTTATATATATGAAATAGTTTCTCATTGACAACATAACATTTGTGTATGTTAATAATTTAACTTAGAATAATAATGTTTTTATTCTCATTTATTTGTGTCAGTTGTACAAAAAAGAAAGAAGATGAAATGAAAAAAAATCGTATAATTACAAATTATTCTAAAACGAGGATAGAAGCTACAAATGGAATACATTTCGATAAAATAAGAATTATTATTAAAAAAACAAAAGAAAATTTTCCAAGAATAAAAATCTTTTCTTCATTTCTATTTGTAATATTGTTTTGATGTATGTTTGTGAAAGTGTTCCTCATTCTATTTCTTATTAGCGACAGAAGTAGTCATTTTGGTTAGTTTAGCAAATTTCCACACTTTCTTTTCGACATCTTTGCTAAAACCAAGAGCAACAGTTTGACACATGTTACGTACGGCAAAACGATCTAATGTTGGATAATTAATAAATTTTTCAATCCATATTGGTTTCGTTGAAATCAATACAAATGAGTGAAAATCGACTAATTCAAGAACAAATCTTCGAATGAAACTGAAAAAACCGTAAGAATACATCAGTCAGATTCCTGGTCAATTATGATATCTACTTACACTGACATAAAACAAGGTATTTATCAGCGTTCGAGTAGGTTGATTGGCGAATTCGACACCAGCGACAAGGCACTCTGTACAAATGGGTAAGTGGTTTTTCTTCAAACATTCAAGAGATGCTTCTGATGCAAAATAAAAATAGAAGATATTTTTCAGTGACACTCGAACGAGAAAATTCTTTTGAAATATTCAGATTGAGCATGTTCTTGATTTTCATCATATCATTGAATTCTCATATTCACAAGTAATTCGTAAGATTTGATCTGAGTATTTGACATGATGTATTTTCATTTAGTCATCGCTCAAGCTTCGATCTATTCTACAGTCGAGACATCAATAGAGAATTAAATTATAATTTATGTATCTATGACCTACGTCTCGTTTTCATTTATCATCGTGCGTGTATGCGTAGATCTCCTTATCCACTTTACTCACACGATCACCTACACTCTCAGTTGCTTTACCGTGAATCGATGCCTAGTGTAGACAACGAAAACTGATCAGATTCGAACGTGTCAAGCATATTTGCCGACTATAAGTTCAAGACATGTTTTATTGGAGTACGGAAAAAAGTTGTAATGGAGTAAGTAGCATGAACTTTTGATGATCTTGTTAGAATCTTCTATTGAAACTGAGGTTATAAAAAACTTCAGACTTTTTTGACTTGACTGTATAATTAATCTGAGGATAGCTGAAGGAAATATACTTTCTCTAGAAATATCCATTTCTTCAGAACGTAGAACTAAATGGTTTTCTACAACTGTCTGATATTAGGATATTTTTTAATGCAATAAACAATTAGAATCATCCTTTGAAAGAAAATGGCATAATCATCAGATTGCTTTACTTTTATTTTCATTATTTTTTTTTCACTCATGTAATTATTATATTTTATCTATCTTTGCATGAAATAGTCATTGTATTACCGAAAAGCCACATTTAAGAAACAGACGACCAATGTTTACATTTAGAATAATTGAGTGATATTGAATTCAACATCTCTGTAAGTTTTTATTTGATTGTTATTGTTTCGAATTCAACCATGATGAGGACAAAAATGTGTCTAGTCATTTCATCACGATGGAGCCTTTCTTTTACATCAAACATACTTGAAAAACATACCTGATCTATGTCCGAAACATGCCTTGTCAAGCAAAAAGCTATATAACAATCATACTCGGTTTTTTTTGTTCTTGATAAACAAGAACAAAAACACTGACACTAGAAGAAAGAAAATGGAGTCATATCAATCGGGCAACACACTAATACAAGAACGCAAAAAAGAAAGAACACAAAATCGCCGTCATTTTTCTTTCTTTCTTTCTTCATCATTGTTGTTGGATTTCTTTCTTTCGTTCTGTTACTTTTTTTTTCTTTCCCATTTTTTCATACATGACCGTATGACTCCATATCGATTTATTTTTCTTTTCTTTCTTACAGCTTCATCTGTCGACAAGCTCTATTTTTCTGTGTGTGTCGTAAAATAACACGTGGTTTTTCATTTGTACCCGTGAAATCTTTCGACACTCAGCTACTAATTTCTTCGAAATATTGAATATTAATATCTATTATTTTAGCTGATCTGTTATTGGTGTTGCTTGTTTTGAAAAAAATTCTTACCAACATTGCTCTGTCAAAGTCAATAAGTAAGTTGTTGTTTCTAGTATTAACATGTCTTTTCAGTAGGAGAAAGATCTATTGTTCGAATTCTCAAAGTCGGGGTCTACTTATGAGTAATAAACAGCGATCTTCGAGATGTTCGTCTGAAATTTTCCTCGTAGACAGATTCAAAAGCCATTCAAGTATCCCAAAACATTTGCTTCAAATGAATATATGATTTTGAGATAGTCAATTCTTTCAATTAGTTTAGCGACATACTCGTCTAAAGAGTATTGCAATTGTCATAAGGCTTGTAATATTTTTTCTAGAATATTTTCTATTGTTGGTATGTATTTTTCTGTGTAAGATGTGGTTATAGGGTTTCAAATGTCATTCGTCTCCTTTAAGGGAATCAACTAGTAGCTTATATCACGTCCAAGCTGTCGTTTTTTCTTTCTCTTTTTTAAAAACATGGCTTCCCATAGTTTTTCCTGTTCATGGTCAGGTTGAAGTGCTTTTCATGGTTTCTTAGATCTAAGTGCCTCTACAAACTTTCGTCAGTTTATGGGTCTCTTTATCCAAGCATAATTGTCAGACTGGAGCAGAGAAATGTGTATCAAGAATTTTAAAAATTGATTCGTAAATTTAGCCTATTGGGGTCTCTCTTACAAGTATTTGGTGCAAAGTGCATGTCGTTTCAGCATACAGTCTATAGCGGAATAAGTCGGATGGCTAGTGCTTTCCCGAAGTACTTGTTTTTATTTCAAAGATTGATCTATGCTTTTGTCAATGGGTAGTTGCATGAATGTTTCTTCGGCCTTTTCATGGGAGAAATTAGTGAATTTTCGATATATTGATGGTCCTAGTTGAGAGGCTAAAAACTAAAAAACATTGAAAAATATTTGTGTTTGAAGAATTGCCAGTATGCATTTTAGTTATAGGATTACAATGGTATTTTCGTTCATTGACTTCAGCATATTCGTACCATTTTCGTGATTGGACCAGAGAAGATGAATTGTAAAGTTCTTCAGAGATCTTAAATTCATCTGATTTTTTCCGTAGACTTATTCTAGTGATTGTATTAAAGTAGAATTGCCTATCTTTCGACCACACATGTTCAGTTCATTTATTCATTGAATGCATCTAGGAGGAAGTGACAGGAGTTTCTTTTTATTTGTTTTCAGATTGATCTATTCTTGGGATGAAAATCGTGATCATTGGTGGTGGTCTTGGAGGATTTGCCGTCGGAGTCGGGTTATTGCAGCATGGATATACAGATGTTATGGTGTACGAACGAGACATAGGAATGGACAGTAGACGTCAAGGTTATGGGCTGACAATTTTGCAAGGAATCAGTGCATTGAAACGGTTACAAGTATTTCAGCAAGTACACTCGCTAGATACTCCTTCTAGATCACATTACATTTTTGACAAATATGGAAGTATGATCGGTTTTTTTGGAACTGTGTTTTGGCCAGAAGAGGACAATCAGCCAAAATCTAGGAAGAAACATAATTTACACATTGAAAGACAAGAATTACGAAGAATCCTTATGAACAGGTACGTTTCATTGCATCCACTAGGTTCTCAAGGTATTCAATGGAATCATCGTATTGTTCATATTGACCGTATGTCACATCAAGTTTCATTTAACAACGGCCATACAGTAACTGGCGTTGATTTGATTATTGGAGCTGATGGAATCAATGGTCTAGTACGTTCTTTTAAATATGATCCTCTTACAGATACTCCATTAAATTATTTGGGTATATTGGTGGTATTGGGAATTACTGGACGCATCGATCATTTTCTTATAAAAGATCGTGTATTTCAAACTATGGATGGATGCTTTAGGCTTTTTGCTATGCCATTTTCAAAATCCAAACCAGAACAGTCCATAATGTGGCAGCTGTCTTTTCCTGTGAATCTAACCTTAGCAACTCAATTATCACGAGATCCAGAGATGTTGAAGCAGATGCTACTGGAAAAATGTGCTGATTGGCACTCACCAATACCTGAAATGATCGAAAAAACACAACTAGATCTGCTAATGGGAATACCAGCATTTGACAGAGATGTAGTATCTCTGCCAGACTCAAAAAAGGACGGTATTCAAATTGCACTTG